TGAGTAGAACCATGTGCCAGATGTGCCTGAAGGGCTTCCAAGGGACTTACTTCCCAAAATACAGGTGTTAGGACTTATTCAAGCTTCACCCATAAACAAATTCACCCACATTTTTCAGGTCAGTTATGTTTATTTCCTAGTTTTCTAAAAATTGCTTGCATAAATTATGCAAATCAGAATAATTAATTTGAATAAAAATTGGGATTTCAGTTTGATTCATAGATATCCTGTTAGTTCATTAAATGTCATACCCGAATATATATAGTTCTGTATATGTTAATTAAAGGCTTCATTTTAAAAAATTATTTTGTGTGTATAAACTATGAAAATCTCCTCCTGAACGCTCCATCCTCTTAGCACCGAAACTCCAAAAAAGCTCCGTCTCCAAAGGTTTAAAAACTATTACATGAGTTTGAAATAATCTTTTGAAAAAAAATATAAAAACTTGGCAAATGAAAGCTTTATTAGACAAAACAGATAAACAAAATAAAGCCAGGAAACTGAATAGTGACATTAGTTTATCTGAGTAACTATTTTTGACCGATTTTCAGTGGTGAGTGGATAATTTACATTAGTGTGTGGATTATTTTTTCAGGGGTGTATGGATAATTTTCAGCGAATGGTTTTTCAATAGTGTGTGGATAATTGTAACAGTGGTATGTGGAAAAAATCACTGTGGTGTGTGTAAAATTTGCAGTGGTGTATAGATAATTTTTATGTTTTAGATAAATTTTAGAAGTTTTGGATAATTTCCACAGTGGTGTGTAGAACATTTTCATAGTGGTTTGCAGATAGACGTTTACAGTATGTGTGGATAATTTTTTTTACAATGGTGTGTGAATAATTTCCATAACGATGTATTTTTTCCGTAGTGTGTGCATAACTGTAACAGTGGTATGTGGATAAATGCGCTGTGGTGTGTGGATAATTTTCACAGTGGTATGTGGAATATTATAGTGGTTTGCAGATAGATTTAAATAAATTTAAATATTTCCTCGTTCATTTGTGGAACTTATCAAAATCTGTCTGACAGATTTAAAAAAAGACCTTTTGCATTTATCAATTTTGAATTTCCATGATTAGAAAATCTCTAATGTCATTTCTATTATCTTGTTACATATCAGTCAAACCTTCTCTTTTTTTTTTCTTCTTCTTCTTCTTTGCGTTCATTAGCTGTAAACTCTGGCAGAAAGTTCTAGTTGTTCATCCACTTCTGGACTGCAGTCCTGTTCCAGAACCTGAGTGTTGCATGTGCATCCGTTTTACAGATCTGACTCATTTGTAATCAGACTGCTGGTTCCTTGCCTCGAAGGAAGCTCCCACTTAGTCGACTCTTACGACATGCTTTTGGGTAGGCAGTGGGTCTATTCTTGTTTTCCCTATAATAGGGCCCCAGAACCCACACAGGGAACCTTCTCTTTCAAGAATCATGTTTTCTATTAAAGGACCATTTCCCACACCTTCAGGCATACTAGACATGCAATGCTAGACATGTTATATAGACCAATCAGCACTAGTGGTCAACATAACGCTGGCATCCTTTACTTCCCAGGACTTTACCTGGTATCTGTTTGATGCTGGCTTGACTTGATAGCCAAGGTTTTCTATTACTTTTTTTTTTTTAAACCACTGCGACTCTTCACCAACCAAAATAAATATATAAGTTATGTAATTTCACAAAATAAGAAAAAGTTTAAATGCATAGGTAGGATTACAACCGTTTGCTAGATAATAAATTACTTTCATTAAAGCTCTCTAGTAGATTAAAGGAAATCAGGCTGCAATTACCATTTTATTACCATCACTTTATAGCAGGAATGTAAAAACACAAGTAACTGTATAAAGTGTAATTCACAACCATTGCATATAAATTTTTTTTTTTTTTTTTTTTAAATTTGCAACTGTTTTCTGCAGTACAGAATACAGGGAACAAAACATGTCATGTTTCTCTTGAGATTCTCATGTACCAATGAAGGACATGGCTTCTTAAACATTTTTACTTACAATTCATTTTGACCAGGCATTATTCATGACTTTCACACTCTAATAAAACCTACAGGTTGTTTTGGCACATTTTGGTCTTTTCTGATGATAGTTTTACATTCTTCTATAGGGAGGCATTGAAAGACAAAACCTAGAATCTGTCAGTCGTAGCTAATTAAGGAATCTAAATAGTTTCATGGGAAGATAAGTGAAGAAGGCTAGAAAGTGTCAAGTGTAGATAAAATAAGAAATCTAGAATGCGTCAAGTCTAGAAAGTGTCAAGCGTATCCAGTAAAGGAACTTAGAAGGTGTCGATAAGTGAAGAAATCTAAAAAGTGTCCAGTGTAAATAAGAAATTTACAAAGTGTCAAATTTAGACTTATATTCAGGTCTTAATAATCATAAAGGACATACGATTTACAAACAAATTTTTTTTCTTGTTCACAATTCACACTGTGCAGCTGCATTCCATAAGTTAAAATGGTTGCATAACAATCATAATATCTACTACACATCTATCATCCATGGCATATTTTATATTAATGACATTAAAAAAGTTCTGGCAGATGCTCAAGGCTCAGAGGAAAGTCAAGACGAACGTTTAATCAGAACGTTACTGGCACCATTAGTATCGGAACTCTTCACTGGCTGCTGAAGATGGGGACGGAGCGCTTATGGGAATGCCGTGAGTGCTGTGTTGTCAGTTCTTGGATCAAATCAATCAATCAATCAACCCTTTACTTTAATTGTACATTGAGAGACCCAATTCTTTGAGACCATTACTTTTATCTTCTTGCTATTTTAGGTTTTTTCTTTACTTTAATTATACTAGCCATTAAAAAGTTCAAGATCACTGCCTCAAGCAGGTAAATGTGATAAACTGAAAGGAATGCACAAATATTATCACAAACATCAGAAGGAGACAATCATCATTGTTTGGTCACGTCATAAGCTGAAGAAAACTGGAACATGCTGTGACAAATGGACAGATTTGTGGAAAGAGAGACAGAGGTAGACAACGCGAGAGGATTCTTGACAACCATTAGTCACAGCAAGGAGGGGTGTCAGCACATGAACTCATACGTAACAGGTTTTGAAGAGGCATGACTCCCATGCCAGTCAGCAAGGCATTGGATGATGATTTTGATGATGAAGGGGATGAAACAGAAATAAAAATACTCTGCATTCCTCCTCCCCAGAATGCCAATAATTTAAATGAGTCAGGTACGATTATTCAAGAATGTCTTCTGATAATTACAAGTAAGCTTCAAAAGAAAACCTTAAAAATGCGATAGAAATTACAATTACCATTGTCATGTAACCTGTCAGTTTTGTTGTTAGGGATGTCAAGAGCGTTAAGTGTGTTACATCACGGTGCAGACAAACATGAGGATGGCATGACAGTTTTGAGACAGCCGCCTCTCTTTGACATGCACTAAAGAGAAGCAGTGTTCTATTATCCATTTTTTAATCAGTGAAGGGGTGAAACCGACAGATGCATGTCTGTCAGTCCAGCGAATGTATGAGTGGAGTAGAAAGTTCTAAAACAGTATGACTTCAGTGACAGACTGTTCATAACCAGGTCAGGTGCAGTCTGTCACGCCTTTTGTAATTTCTATCACACTTTTAAGGTTTTCATTTGAAGTGCCTGTTATTCTACTTTCTGGCGCTCACCTCAGAGGTCTCCTTTATCTATCATATGTACTACAACAAGAACAAAAACATTTGGTATTCTGAGTATTTAGAGTCATTAGGTAGGTAGGTAGGTAGGTAGTTGTACCCCACCAGGACATCAGACAAGCGATAAACACCCGGTGACACAAAGTGTCACCATGTCGATGAGGATCACCTGTGGAGAGGCCCCAGAAACCCCTCTTGCCTAGGCCATATTTATGGCCCGGTTATATTCAGGGCCCCGGGCAAAATCCAGGGTGGGGCTTCAAATAAAAAAATTCATTTCACATTGGGAGGACTTATATGACTAGGAGTCATAAGAAAGAGCTTTGGTTTTTAAACAGTAATACTTGGGATGATTCAGAAATACTGTAGAAGTACAGGCATTTTGACATGCCGATAGCACATCGGGCACACGACAAAAGGGTGGACTCACATTTTTATACACAGCTCTTGAAAGGTGAGGTGGTCAACTTCATGCCGGCTGCCTTTACTTTCTAAGACTTTATCTGGTACCCCATTTAACAACAATACTGTGTTCTGTTTCAAAATCGTAATTTCTCCTCCTTTTCATTTTTATGGATCATTTTTTGAGTCTGTCTCCTTTAAGGTCCAAGATGGATGAGGCCAGTTAGGATTCCTGCATGAGCTTATCTACTGTCATTTCCACAGAAAACATCGTAGGCAACAAGGGCAGATTGGTCTATAAATATAAGACTTCGAGGCATGCATCAGCGACCTGGTCTCTCATCGGTTGGCTGGTAGATGATTCATCATGTGTGCATTCTTAGGCATGTAAAAAATCCCTTGGCAGTTGGAAATCGAAGAGAGTAGTCTAATGGCGCTGACCTGGCAAAATTTGGAGTTGAAAATCTACCCAAAGTATTTCAGGATCCTCGCCAGTGCTACAGCGCCTGTGCACTGTGCTGAGCTTCTTCAGACTCAAGACTTTAGTTAGAAGAAAGAACGGAGCACTTATGGGTTACTACCCTTGCGCCATGATGTTGATCCGTTGTTTAAAACCTCAAACCTCTTTGTATCTTATTATCTTGTGCAATTATTTCTTCTTTTTTAAAATAACTTGTATTTCTAAGGACCTCACCAAAAAATTTGACATCATTTGATTTGCATTATTCATACACATATACACACATTTAAATATTTTATTTACAACTAAACAAATTTATTTTACACTTTCTATGCACCAAGACAACTTAAAAATACAAACTCAGCCAAACTGTCATATTCAATAAGGCACATACAAGTCAAAAGTTTTCCACTATTTTAAGACGGGAACTCATATATATCATATATCAATAGTTTTGTGACAGACAATGTTATATTTAGACAAGACTGAAGTACATTAAAGGACTTTGGCTGCACTTTGTTGTCTTTAGAATAGATCCTGGATCAACACCTGTTGCCACTAAACACTTAGAGCTGCCGTGGTTTATGAGCTGTGTGTTGACACCCTGCCCAAAAAAAATTGTAACAAAGATAAAACAAAGTAAAACACTGAAGTGACACCATAAAAAATTGTAAGTTAAAGTTAACTTAAAGTCGAGAGGATCGATTTAACTGCTCCGAGTTTGATCGCATATGGCTCAGTTTCTCTCGAAAGAACTGCTAGCCTCTCAGCGAATGTGAAGAAGGAGAAGAAGAAGCAGAACTAACCACTGCACCCACTGTATGTCAACTCATTAAATTAATGGCTCTAGTAGTATATGCCTGATGCGCCAATAGAAAGGAAAGGGTCATTTCATCAACATCATCACCTGGGTGTGTCATATTATGTGTCACACAGGGTCTTACAGTGTATCGATCTGTTCCGTCCTATCCTGTGGAATCCTATCGATAATATTAGCAATACTGATGATAACATAACATATGTGACATTGTTGAAAAAATAATATAAATGATATGGATGATAACATATCATAGGTGATATTGATGATAAAATAAAATAGATGACACTGATGATAACATAACATAGGTGGCACTGATGGTAAAACAACATAGAGACACTGATAACATAATTCTGATTCCACAGATGAAAAAATAACACAGATGACACTGATAACATAACAAAGATGACATTGATGATAAAATAACACAAATGACAATAGTAACATAACACTGGTGATAAAATAATATAGATGGCAATAAAAATGACAATACAAAAATAGATAACACTGATGGTAACATAACACTAACAATAAAATAAAATGGATGCCAGTGATGATACAATATCATATGACACAAATGGTAATGATAATAATAATAAAATGACACAGATGATAACATAATACTGATCATAAAATAACAAATATGATATAAAATAAAATAAAATGGATGATTTTACAAATCTGACTTATTTTTATTTGTGTCAGATTGTTGGTTCCTTCGAACCAACACACTGACTTCGAAGGAAGCCTCCAATTAGTCGACTCTTACAACATGCTTGTTAGGGAGGCAGTAGGTCTGTTCTTGTTTTTCCCACAGTGAAACCCCAGGAACCCACACCGAAAAATAACATATATGATATGGCTGATAAAACAACAGATGATACATAATTATATTGCTGACAAAAGAACATTCGATATAACATCACAGATGATAAAGTTAACAAAATAACACAGATGATGTAAAAACATAATGATATGGCTGACAAAATAACACAGATGATGTAAAAACATAATATGGTTGATGAAATTAAATAGACAATAAAAAAACACAATGATATGGTTGACAAAATAACACAGATGATATTTTGCAAATTAATTCTCCTGTGGGTCTTTCCTCTAAGCACCATTTATCAAATGTGAAGGGTCACGTAAACAACTTTACCTGTTTGGACCAAATCCAGGTCTGAACTTTTAACCCCTTGCATTTCATAAGTCTGGCATACGGACCTTCATCTTTATTCACATCCAAACAGAGCAAATTGGCAAGTCGCAGGTCTTTTTGTTCTGTTTCATACCATAACTGTGAAACACAATAAGAAAGTTAAATGTTAGCAGTCTTAGACACTTGCTCATCCGTGTGGGTTCTAGGATCCCATTGTGGGGGGAAAGAATAGACCCACTGCCTCCCTGACAAGCAGGTCATAGTAGGCTACTAATTAGGGATTCTTCTCAAGTCAGAGTGCTTCTGTCTGAGAGGCAAGGAGCCAACAGTATACAAGTAAGACAGAGAGGTAAATGGAGAAACACATAAAATGCAGGTTCCAGAACAAGATTAAAGTCCAGAAGTGGATGAACAACCAGAACCTTCGCCTGGAGTTTACAGTCAGTGAACACCAACAGGAAGAAGACTTTTCTCACCAAATCACACACACAAACATCTATAACCACATAAATATACACACACACATTTATATTAACATATCACAAATGCAACCACATATACAAACATATACATAAACACATCAATTCTATAAAATTACATTAGGTTACAGAACAGAAGTAGAAAAAGGTCAAAGGTAATTCTGGTATTCTTATGAACAACTATGTACCCAGGATTGAAAATAAAATATACCATAATAAGTGACTTGTTATTTAGCAGGGTTCTGGCAATTTCTACACAAGAAATAGCCACAGAAATAAGAGCTATAGAATTATTTCCAGATAGGAACTGGAATATGAGAGCTACATCTTCCTGTATGGCTTCTGGAGCCCATTTTTGGGAAAAACTAATTGATCTACAGCCCCATAACAAGTATGTCATAGAAGGTGACTAAACAAGAGTTTGCCTGAATCAGATATGTTGGGCTGAAAGGTACAGATACCCCAACCTATCTTAAACCACAAAACACAACATTCTGATCACCCCATTAAGAGCAAATGATGAAGAGGAATAGCTATGCATACATTGCGAAATGCAGCCAAAATGGCAGGGAAAGTGAAATATAAGATTAGCATTTTTGGATCAAAGAAAAAGAGGAAGACTTAAAAAAGCAAATCAGCAACAGAAAAGCAAATCTGAGGGAGATATTGATAATCTGGTGAGAAGATTGAGCTGCAGGTGATAACAAAAGATATATTTTAGAGTTAATTAGTTAAGGGTCTATGCCTGCAATCTGGTAATCTTAGTTTTAGCTTCATAGCAAACGGATCACCCCATAGTTGCTCCGCTCCTGTGCCAACGAAAAACACACAAAATGTTTATCACAGTTCAAATGAAATCCGCAGCTCACAGTGTCACGCCATGCACTCAACTCAGAAGCTGGGCAACGAAACTTTATCCTTCCAGTCTACAAATGGAGCAAAAATGCAATGGCCACCGTCTGGCAGAAAAAAAAAAGATATCTGGCAGAAGAAACAAACTGGAGAACACATGTACACACATATATCATAAAGTGAGAACTAGGTAAATGTGTCCAGAAGTGTAAATCACAGAGATATGCTCACCTGATCTTTATTACCTTCTTTACAGACTGCCAACTTAAGCAATGCCCTTTTATCCACCACACTTTTCTCTGACTGGACACACAGACCAGATCCCATATGTTTGAGCTAGAATGTAAGAGAAGAACAATCTCAAATATGGCAATAAACTCTACAAGCAAAAAACAAAACAAAAAACCACCAGAAGTAGTTTTTAAGCTTTCGGGTGGAATTAGCAAAGGAAAATAGCTAAAGTGATGGTAGCTTAACTTACCTGCTAACACTCTGGTATTTGGTTACATCTCCTGCAGAATCTAAAATCCATCTGAAGTCAAGGCATAACAAAAAGAGGCTTTATAAAGTTGGGAGTCCCAGACCCATGCTTCAACCTCCAACCTGGAAGACCAGACTGTCTCCTTCTGTATGTTCTCTACCCGGTGACCTATACAGATTAGAAGACCCTGCTAATACAGCCACAACACTACCCAGAGTGCCAGCTATGTAACTACCCCTACAAAACTGTTGACCATCATCTCTTTGAGTGCCCAAAACTCAGAAAAACTAGAAGAATGCTACTCCCTCCAAGACCAGACAAGTGGAACACCTTGTACAGAGGAAAAAACAGCTTGTGAAAACATGCAAATTCCACCATATGGCACTGGGCCAGAGGGCGAAAGCTCATGCGCCAATAGATCGATAAAAACAAGAGAAGACCCTGCTGTTAGCCACGCTTATGCTGATAAAGCTCTAAGGGTAAATGAGAAACATAAACTCCCCCATTGCAGCATAGTGGAGACTTCTTCTTCTTTTTCTCGTTCACTGGCTGTAAACTTCAGCGGAAAGTTATGGTTTTTCATCCACTTCTGGCCTCTAGTCCCGTTCCAGAACCTGAGTGTTGCATGCACATTCATTTTACAGTTCTGACTCATCTGCATGCAGACTGTTGGTTCTTTGCCTCTCAGGCAGATGCACTCCGACTTCGAAGGAAGCTCCCAATTAGTCGATCTTACGACATGCTTTTGGGTAGGCTGTGGGTCTGTTCTTGTTTTTCCTACAATGGGACCCCAGAACCCACATGGGAACATAATGGAGACATCTTTGGGGGAATCCAACAGAATGATGACATCTTATTTTAAATACAGTTTTGCAAAAAACATACTAAATAATTTTCTCAAAGGTGTTCATAAGGGAGCTGGTTAACCTACCTTGTTATTTTATTATAAATACTAATACAAACAAGATGATTTAGATAGTTAGTTTTCTTTCGTGTTCTTTTGTTAATATCCAAGTCTGACACTGGTAACCTAAAGTCGGTACAAATATTGTATTTATAATTTGTATTTTTGTCTCTATTGGAATAGCAGGGTGTTTTTAAATTGGAGTAAGTTGGTAAGTGACATTGTTGGTTTGTTGGATTCTCGTTTCTATCTCTCTGTCTATTTTACCATTGTGTATAACGATGCTTCCCAAGCATTTAAATTCTTGCACTTGTTTCAGACTTTGATCTTTATGTCGATGGTTTGTTGCTTTCAACTTATTCTCATGACTTCTGTTTTTTCAATGTTGATCTTCATGTGACGTTTAAGGCAACTGTCATGTAGTTGGTTTATGTGGTCCTGTAGATGTTTAATTTCACTGTGGAATATGCACTGATTGTCGACAAAGAGCAGCTCATTGAAGCCCTCAACATGTGGTGTTGTTATGTCTATTTTAGAAATATTGTCCATGAACATTATAAAAAGTAAAGGTAAAAGAAGACACCCTTGCCTTACTCCTGATGTTACTGGGAACCAGTCAATGAAGTCAGCTCTTGTTCTGATGGTGCTTTCTCTTTCTATTTAAATAGCTTTTACACAATCTAGCACTGTTAAGAGCTATTTAAATAGCTTTTACACAATCTAGCACTGTTAAGAGCTATTTAAATAGCTTTGACACAATCTAGCACTGTTAAGAGCTATTTAAATAGCTTTGACACAATCTAGCACTCTTAAGAGCTATTTAAATAGCTTTTACACAATCTAGCACTGTTAAGAGCTATTTATAAAGAAAGTGAAAGCACCATCAGAAAAAGATTTATTTTTTCCCTCACAGAAAATCCTCCATCCCCTTACCAAGGATTCGAACTGGGACTCCAGCATGAGAGCCTAGCTTTCTAATCAATCGGCCGGCTGCTAAGGTGTATACAAATGTACAATGACAAAACCATATCATTATGATAATTGTAATGATGCTAAAAATAGGGATAACTGTCACAGACCTCTGGGTGAACTTGCTGGTCCGTGGCTCGTAACTGGGCCTATGACAGACAAACTAACCTTTGACACACACTGATCCCGAACGCACACAGAGCACACACGACAATCTTTATTGCAAGTACAGGTAATACAATAGACAGCTGACTTCCCACTGTGTGGCCACCTATTGCCTGGACCCTCTGGCCAAACGGGCTTTACAATCGCCTCGTTCCCCAGTACGTTCTACAGACAATCTCCTGGTGCACAAACCACAGCAAGGCGAGATAAGTTCTTTTCTATCGCCAGGCTGACCTACCAAACGTCACCACCTCTGTCTAGTGCAGGATCAGTATGACAAGGCTAGATATTCTCTCACATAAGATGCACCTAAACGATTTGACTGGTCAGAAGTAACTGGAAACTATTTACTTCTTATGGCACAACACAATACCTTGTATCAGTTAAATACACAGCACAAAAGACTATACTATTCTAACAGAACACTGTAAGTAATCTATGCAGCCACTAAACAATTATCCTAACTCTAATATACTATCACTGTTTCGCTACACGTCTCCTCCGTCTGACCGTTGTACACCGAATGCCCCGTGTTCCTTTCCCCTCATGTCTTTTGACCCGTTCACCAGCTCAGTCCCCAAAGGGGTAATCGTGTTGCAAACTTGTCTGCAACAGAGTTCACTCTTCCTTGTCGTGGCCAAGCTGTTTTCTCCCGAGCGCTGGTTTCACCGTGCAATAACAGAACAGACTTGTCCAGTCATGGCCCTGACCTTTGTGTCAACCCTGGGGTGTCACCTCAACACGCACACCCTACGGTGTGGTCCACCACTGACTGTACTCATAGGGTTGTGACAATAACGTCAGGGTGTGACTGACAGAATTGGGTAAGTCCCTGATAGCATGTTTTTCAAGGAGATATGGTGAAAAGATAAGAGTGAGTGAGTAACGGGTGAATGCAAGATCTGGGGGATTGAGAATGAGGTGGTGATTTGGTGACTGGGCCCCAGATTGGAAGGATGTGAAGCTGAATCTGTGAAGCTGAATCCAGAGTGAGAAGTGCACACGTGGATCGGAATTAGAGTCGAGTGAATGTTAATACTGAACGAGAAGAGATGCCGCGCTGCTGAAAGATCTTTGAGGCCAGCGGTAGGGTTTGACGGGATGTTTGTTGTGCCAGCCGTGTACCTACCAGTGTCCATCGTCTGAAGCATGGATAGAGACTCAATACGTGAACAAGGCGAGATTGCCCGAATGGCGTAAGTTAGTTCATCTGCTGATTTGTGCCACTTGTGTTACATTGACAATAAACCTGTGAAATGCGTCAGCTTTTGTCGACCGTCATTTAAAGTAGTGTGGCCGTGGAGAGAAGTGCCGTCTGGCTAGAATGAACTGTGACATAACACCTAGACAACAGTCAGTGTTGAATCTGCACAAGAGAGATTGAGTGTGGAGGAGACACATTACAATAATCTACATTTTACAAAACAACTTACCAAACCTCTAGCTACCACTGGTACATTCAGTTCATTTGCCATTTGTTTGTTTTCTTGATTTGGGTATAAAGTTCTATTTAAATCTGGCAATTTCTGAAATAGAAATATAATTAACTGCTCATTATTTCATAAATTTGACTAGCAAAGGTATAACAAAACTCAAAGTTCATGAACTTGCTTTGGCTCTTAACAGAAAAAAAAAATTCTCTGTGTTACAACCATTTGGTATTTTAACCCATTCTGTCTTAGCAGCTAAAATAGCTCCTTGATCTTCTAGAAAGTTATTTTAAATCCTTGTTACTCAATTTTTATTACCTTAAAATAAACACATGCTATGATAAAAACTTAAGCAATACAATAGGCATTTTCACAGATGAAAAAGAATATAAAAAAAAACTATCAAACACAAAACAAAAATGACTAAAATAAAGAAACATAAAAGTATTTTAGGCTTGCATAGAAAATAATTTTGTCAACAGAAAATAGACGACTTTCAGATCAAAGTGATCCAGTGCTCAAAGACTGGAAGGCAAAATGTTAAGAACACAAATTTGCTGGCTGAAAAGAGCGGAAACTGCTGAAGTTTCAAATACATAAGGGTTGCTGACAAAGATAATGATGGTAAAGATGATGTTAGCCAAAAAAAATAAATAATAATAATAATAAAAATCATAAAATCCAGCAAGAAAATGTGAAAATATTCAAACTTACTTTTAACTGCTCTGGGTAGACATTTTCTAAATACCACTGAAAGGATTTACAATTGAGGTCTTTGCGAAGCTTTATTCTACCAGTGATGTTCCCAAACTCCATATCCTCTGCTCTGGGATTTATATGGAAGTAGTATTTCTGACCAAGAAAAATTGTCAAAGTTATTTTCCACATGTTACATATTTTAGGCCTATTTTACATTACTGTACGGCCAATGAAATAAGTAACATAACCCTTTTGATATCTTTGGCATATTAGACAGACATTTAGTGCTAGAATTATACTTTCACATACCGCTTGGCCCTCGATAGGTGAGGTAGTCGACATCACAGTGTCCCCCTTTACTTCCCAGGACATTAGCTTGGAGCCAAAATTAAGTTTCAAAAAATCCATCTTGATGCGGCAGAATTACCAGTTGGTGACACCAAATGTTTGTAGGTCTGTCTAGATATTATCTCTCTGTCTCTCCGTTGACTTTTTGCTCTGCCTCTTGGTCTACGCCTATTTAACTTTATTGTGTACACAGTTTTTTAACCTCTCTGTCATTTGACATTTATCAAAATGTCCCAGCCCTTCCAGTCTATTAGCTGTCATGATGCTGATGATCAGAGGTGATTTCAACAATTTATGAATTTCATTGTTGCTTCCCAATCTTCCTTCCCTGCTGTCAGCATCTGTGATGTGTCCGAAGATTCGACGTAAAACCCTGTTTACAAAAAAGTGTAATAAAGTTTCATCTCATTTAGCTGTGCTCCAAGTGTCAGAGTCATATAAAACAACTGGTCTTAACAGCGTTTTATATATTTTGGTCTTGGTTTAAATCCATCCAAAATCTAGGCTTAGAAATCTGTTTCAGGGTAAAATGAAATTTTATGAAGGTGGTGGTATCAGTACTGTGCTTCAACCATCAACCTGGAGGACCATAAGAGATCATTTAAAAAAGAAATTATCATCATCATTATTAAGATCTGATCAGACAGAATAATAACCAATTTATATTTAAGAAAAAAAAAAACAAACAAAAACACACACACACACACACACACGCTATGATAAAAACTTAAGCAATACAATAGGCATTTTCACACACACACACACACGCACGCACGCATGCACGCGCGCGCACACACACACACACACACACACACGATTTAAAAGGTACATATTTATTGTCATTTTATGATTCAGGGGCCACCCTGGTTACATAAAGACACTGGGACAACTACATCACTAAACATGGTGTTGTATTTTGTTATTATCAAGCTGTTATAAGAAATAATTAACGCTATCAACATATGCATACATAGAAAAATAGGATGAATATGATGGAAAGATTACAACTGAAGAAGTTCTAAACAAACTAGAAATAAAAAAATACAGAACTACCAACAAGCATCGAAATCAAGAAATAAAATATTATTACCATAAAAATACTGAAAACCAATTTAGAAAGAAATATGTAAAGATAAATATAAAACAGGAAACCAAAGATTGAAATGGATGGATAATATCAGGTGACAGTGTGACAGAGCATGTCTCACTGTACCATCCTAACAAGAGACACTGACGGAGATCGACTGCTGCTGACATCTGCTGTGAATATGGCTGCAAAATATGAAGGACAATGAGTTAAGGAAATTGTAATACAAGGTGACCAGCAATAAGGCAGAAATCTCATAACAGAGTTTGCTGAATAAGAGGTCCTGAAAGTGTAATAAAGAGTCAGATACGGCATCTGCAGAATGTTAGGGACACAGATATTTGGACTTTGGACAACATGTCTGCAAGTGTAAAGATTTGTCAGATCAGAAGTAAATGGTGCAGACTGCTTCCAACAGTGCAGCAGAATCAGTTTGGAGTAAAGGATTGACTACGACTCAGACACGTATACACATATAGTGTCTCTATTTGCCTCAAGTAACCTGTGGAGTATCTCACACAGTAACCGAATGCAAAAAAATCAATATCAGTTGGCATATTGTCACAGTATTACCACAAACTATACTTGCCACAAATCTTAAAATTTGCAGATTAGAAAAGAAAATACATTGGTATTTTCCAGCACAATATTACTATAATCACTTTTCGGTTGTCTATGCAGCCATTTTTTTAAAAATCATGAAAAGACGATAAATGTATCCATACATGTCCTGGTAATTTGTTGAGGGAAATGTATGTTATCCCTGCTTTTTGAAAGTGCAGACCTTCCAAAGATAAAGAAGTGACTGAATTGTTTGAAAGAAATGTCTTTACAGTGGTATTTCAATTCATATCTTCTTCTGTGTTCACCCTAAAATGTTGTAAAACACTTCTGGTTTACAGCTAGGCTGTGATATCTGCACCCGGTGGCCCAAAACATCAAATTTCAGCAAATCCTTCGTTAATTGCCCTTTACAATAGAGCAGTGGGCACATTCCGCCCCCCACTCCCCCACCAAACAAAAAATGTGGCCTAAGGATCCACACTGAGAAGTTTGATTGACTAACAGCTTGGGTTTGATCTGTTTAAACCCAGCAATTACAAGTTGACCTATTTCTCCATGTGGGTTCCAGAATCTATTGTGGGAGAGGGAGGGTGGGTGGAAGAACAGACCCACTGCACCCTAACAAGCATATTGTAAGAGTTGACCAGTTAGGGATGTTTCCTTCTAAATGTGGAGTACATCTGCCTGACAAGCACAAAAGTCTGCACATAAATATGCTAGATCTGTAAAATGGATGTCCACATAAAACTCAGGTCCTGGAAAAAGAATGAAGCCCAGAAAAGAATAAAGAACCAGAAATTTCCACAAGAGTTTATGGCTTGTGCAGGCAAAGAAGAAAAGTTGGTGTTTGGAAGGGCCAAATGTCAGACAGGCCTGCGTGCCCAATTTTTGAGCCTTTGAAAATAAAGTTTGTTCGTTCGTTTGTCCGTAATTACAGATAAAGAAAGTTTTTCACGTACAGAAATACTTACTTTGTATTCATCCAGCCAAACATGAACCATCCGAAGTGTATTTTTGGTAAAACTGTCTGTCACACCGGCACCATAAGGCCTTCGCTTACGAAAGATGTGGCCAACTCTTGAGCAAGGTACAATTACCAGACGTCCACCACACAGCCATATCTAACAAGTTCAAAACACAGAAGGAAAACAATTACAACAGGAAAAGTGATGAAGACTGGGGTAACTGCAGTCAAGCCAATATCAAGAACTTAATCCACTGAACTTTGACTAAGAAGCTTAAGGAAAGAAAGAAGCAGAACAAAGCACACATCTTCTTCTTCTTCTTCTTCGTGTTCGTGGGCTGTAACTCTGGCAGAAAGCTCTGGTTGTTCGTCCACCTCTAGACTTTAGTCTCTTGAGTGTTGCATGCACATTCATTTCACACATCTAGCTTATTTGATAGCAGATTGTTGGTTCCCTGTGTAACAGAGCCCCCTGCACAAATTACGTTTTATTAAAGAGCCTTGAGAACAACAGGCTCATCCTGGCCTTCACCCTTATTTCCCAAACCTTTCCACAAAGCTGGGTGACCGCATAATAAATAGTATATGGTGTCCTTGGCCTGAGATTCTAGAGACTACAAGCAGTTTGGCTAGACATCACGTGACCCTCCCTTAAAGTACATGAAAATAAAATGTCAACATTTTTGGAATTCTTCTCCTAAACTCATATTTTAGAAATGCAGTAGCGGTTTGAAAAACACATTGCTGGAAGATTCTAGAAGCAGGCTAGTGGCACCTATATAAGTGAGTGCCTGGACCTCTCAGCTCAGAGGGAGGGCAGGCCAGAGTAAAATAGAAGTAGTGGGCAGGAGACTTAGAACCCATAGACAAACGTTAGGGGCTGAGTCAATATACATATTTCAATATACAATTGTTAGCGTTGTTGCGAAAGTTGCCATTTTCTTTCGTAAAATTCAAAATTAAATAAAGGAACTTTTGAACTAAAGGCTAAATGATTTCAGTAAAAATATATGTTAGGTGACGTAGAGTTTTGTATGATCTGATGGTGGTGATGATAGACGACCAAGGACGAGAGGAGGTATATCGTTTGAGGCGAGTCGACTTTGGAGTAATTGCTCAGCCGCCACTGGAACCGGGACTGGAAGAGGATTCAGGTGTGGACACAGAGAAGGAGGACAGTAAAGAGGGGGAAGAAGAAGGAGTACAACAGTAATGAACCACACCTCCCCGACCAAGCCTTACTGAGATGTTTTTTTAAACTGTGTGTCTGAGTTGCCAGATTAACCAAGGAGAGGGAAATTATGCCCACTAGCTGACTGCACTTGCATCACAGTGGAATTTCAATAAAAGAAGAAGATAAAAGTAGACTCTGTTTCACCTTTTCTCAGACAGATGCACTTCGACTTTGAAGGAAAACCCCAATTAGTTGACTCTCACAACATGCTTGATGGGGAGGCAGTGGGTCTATTCTTGTTTTCCCCACATTGTGGCCCCAGAATCCACACAGAGAATACACATACAAAACATGCATGTGTAGGATGTTCCCATTTCCACCTTTTATAAAGCTCTTAGTCACAGTTCAGTGTAATAATTTCTTTAAAACAGGAAACTCGGGAAGGCTATAGCAGTCATTGCACTCATTAAGAGCCTATCCTCTCTCACTTGAAGTGGCATTTAGAAGTATTGTACAGTGTAAGACTGCACAAATATCAGAGACACTGAAAACTACTTTCTATGAAGCCAACAGAAGGACCTGTTCCAGAGATCTTTTCCTGCCTTGATGCCATAAGGCATTCTAGGAGTAGGCAAATGAAGAAGAAGTATAGTGCAGTACAGAGGTTTTGTTGTGTGGTTACAATTGGAAATTTCCACATTGTTACAGACTGTTAACCTTTGAACTAAGAGCTACTCTGAGGGAGGTAGGAATAAAACCCTTGAGAAATCTGTGGTAGTAATTGACAATAATTAATCCTGAGAAGTCTGTGGTAGTAGATGACAATAATTAATCCTGAGAAGTCTGTGGTAGAAGATGAAAATAATTAATACTGAGAAGTCGGTGGTAGAAGATGATAATAATTAATCCTGAGAAGTCTGTGGTACTAGATGACGATAATTAATCTTGAGAAGTCTGTGGTAAAAGATGACAATAATTAATCCTGAGAAGTCTATGGTAGAAGATGACCCGAGAAGTCTGTGGTAGAAGATGACAATAATTAACCTTGAGAAGTCTGTGGTACTAGATGACAATAATTAATTATCATTATAATCATTACAACATTATGTTATCAGGCAATCGCAGTTTCAACTTAATAGCACACCGGCCACCCGACAGTTGCTACATTCTTTACCAACAAAAACCACATAGAATGTTCATCACTGTCTTTTGTGGAAAAATAAAAGACACAGACTACAGTCTCAGCAGATCCAATAGCATAAATGTGCATTAAATGCATAAGGCAGTAGTCAGAAGTGCCATCACAAACAGTCCAACACTAGAAATTCAGTTCATCGTTGATGGAAACAGCAGTTGTAATAGATCAGTAGTTGCACACATTATGTTCTTTTAGCACTGTTGTCTCATTGTACAAGTAAAGATGTGTCCATCCAGTCTTGTCAATACTAAATATGAACTCCAGATAGCTGTCTCAGCATGTGAGCATACAAGTCACAATACTATCATGGCTCACCATGTATATTTACTTTAGGCCAACCATAGGCAGAACTGTTCGGGATGACAAAGATGTGTTTTATAACAAATAATATACCTTATGCCAAAAAAACTGAAACTTACTCTAAAAGAGAGCTCTAAGTTTTCTCCACCCCACACATCCATACCACCATCATATTCCCCTAACTGATGAAAGTACTCTCTGTTGATAGCAAACAAACCACCTGCCATAGTTGGAGATCTGAAGAAAAAAAATATACTGACCAGTAAATACAAAATGTATACATTAATGAACTGAATTGACATTTGCATTATGTAGGAATTAATGATCATTGTTTCTTGCAACTGCATCGTTGATGATTAAACCATCCCATGTTGATCTCAAATGTTTTTAACTGTATCGTTGATGATTAAATCATCACATGTTGATCTCAAATGTTTTTAACTGTATCGTTGATGATTAAATCATCCCATGTTGATCTCAAATGTTTTTAACTGTATCGTTGATGATTAAATTATCACATGTTGATCTCAAATGTTTTTAACTGTATCGTTGATGATTAAATCATCCCATGTTGATCTCAAATGTTTTTAACTGTATCGTTGATGATTAAATCATCACATGTTGATCTCAAATGTTTTTAACTGCATCGTAGATGATTAAACCATCACATGCTGATCTCAGTTGTTCTTAACTGTATCGTTGATGATTAAATCATCACATGTTGATCTCAAATGTTTTTAACTACATCGTTGATGATTAAACCATCACATGCTGACTTCAGATGTTTTTAACTGTATCGTTGATGATTAAACAATCACAAGCTGATCTCAGATGTTTTTAACTGCATCGTTGATGATTAAACCATCCCATGCTGACTTCAGATGTGTTTAACTGCATCGTTAACAATTAAAACATCACATACTGATCTCAGATGTTTTTAACTACATCGTTGATGTTTAAACCATCACATGCTGACTTCAGATGTTTTTTACTCTTTCAATCTCAATCAGTTGTAACTTTAACTCCTTCTACCTAAAAGTGTTCAGCTTAAAAGCAGTAAATAGTTTGGCCCTTAGAAATTTGGCATAGAAGTTATGAGACATAAGAACTTAAACTAGTAATTTAGAAAAATATACTGGACTATAATAAGGACTGATGTAATATTCTTCTGTCACAGAGTAGCAAGCTTCTCTTCAGAGGTCCCGTGTAGTTAGCATAATCTGGATATTTTTCTTCATGTCATGCTGGTGTGCTGGGAAATAAGCAGGCAGATGGACTGGCTAGTTCTGCACCACTTGGTGCTAGGGACAGGTGGATATTCCAGAAGTTCCCACCCTAGATGGTTAAGTTTCTCTGGAGCTAACCGAGCCGTATGTGGTCTGGCATTGTCTAGTCAGCAGGCCTGGACGTATTCTTCGAATTACCCAGCTATGCACTACTTTACGGGAGAAACATCTGTCAGCCTAAACAGCAAGCATTTCCTTATGAATGTCCTTTGCAGGAAGCCCTTTTGCCTCCTTCCCCCTAAACTCACAACAGCAGGTTGTTCTTTGAGGACTGTTTCTGTGTTGCTAATGCGCATGCAACAGTTAATGGAGGCATAAAGTTTGATGTTGCTTTCACCTAATGACACCTTCAGAAACCACCAACTACATTTTCCTTCTATCCCATAACCATATGTGACTTACTTATTGACTTCCCCTTGTATAATAAACAAATAGACAATGTACTGATTGGCACTCACAGAAAGAAGTAGAAGGATAGGACACACTAGATAACATAAAAATTGAGGCACTGACAGAAAGAAATAGAAAGAACGACACTCTAGACAAAATAAAAATCTTGTACTAATACTATTAGAATACTAATATTATGGCAAACACTCACTCATACGGTTCCGCCTTTTCATATACAACATTTGCTACATCTGAAGATAAAGGCTCCCACTGGTAGTGCATGCCCCAGTTAAAACCTCCTTTCACCAAACTAGACTGCTCGTAGAAAAATGTGTCAGCATCTACGATGTCTATCAATGGAACAGCTACTGTATGCTGGTCAACTTGGATCGCGTGCAACAGCGGCTCCAGCCAACCGGTATTGACCTCACAATGGCTGTCTAAAAACAGCAGAGTCTGTGAAAGTGAAAGGTGAAAATGATAATAATTTCATTAAATGACATATGTACAAAATGTATGTTCCTGGTGCAAAACATATTGTACATAATTTAGGTTTATGGGAAAAAATATGTACATAATTTATGTTTGTTACAGAGAATGTTAGTGTCTGCGGCTAAAGTGATGCGAACATGCTTTGTTTTTCTGAGGTACAGGTTCGACTCCAGCTGCAGGTAATCTGGTAGCAGACCACCCTGCATTGATTTCAATGGAGCCAATCATACTGAAAGCAATGACAAACTACTCAATGTAAAATCCCCAAGTAAAACCAAACATCCCCCCCCCCCCAATGCTGGGGTTGGTTCTGTAACATTCAGTAAAAGATATGCAGGTAACGTACAGAAGCTATTTATGTTTGTTTAAAAAATGTATGTACACAAATCTGTCAGTATGAAAGAGGAATATTTATCGTATGTTGCTTAACAAAGAATATAATTGCAGCGAATGTACAAGGCATGGTAGAAGAGGAACAAACAAGAGTAAAGATAGAATGACGTAGGTCAGAAATAAAAGATACCCAATTAGTGATAGATTAAAAGATACACAATTAGTGATAGACAGCATTAAAAGTCTTTGGTTAAGCACCAGCAAGGTAATTAACATTACAATTTTGAGAGCATGCATCTTCCCTGTAGTAATACATGGGTGTCAGTCCTTGACTATCTCTGAAATGCTATAGAACGATTCTTAGAATACCATGGATAGATAACAGAAGAAATACTGAAATTTTAAAAGATCTGAATATCAAGGAAGATTGGCCATTAAGCAACATCTTGTCTCGGAAGCTGACAAATTTGGGTCATATCAAGCGCCATGGTGGACTGGAAAAAAATAATAGCAGAAGGCATGGTACCAGGAAGACCAACACAAAGATTGACACAGGATATAAGTGACTTTTTAAATATGAAAGTACACAATGCAGAAGAGTTGCGAGAGACAAGAGTTTCTTTCAGGCAGACCGAGACAAGAGCAACATTCTACAAAGAACCTGCTACATGATGATGACCACTGATAGAAAATTCAGCCGCTCCCCCCCCCCCCCATTACTGATTTATCATTATCATTGTCACGTGTCATGGCAAGGAACAGTTAGTCGTCCAGTGCTCAAAGTGGTGCTACTGTTATCTGTGTTCCCCATGTGGGTTCCAGGGCCCTACATTTGGGGGGTGGGGGGGGGGAGAGCACAGACCCACTCCCTCCTAACAAGAATGTCATAAAAAGCAACCAGGAATTTGCTGAAATTATTTTGCCATAAAAGGCAAATTGGAGTTTTCTGAAATTAAACTACTGGCCCAAAAGATGCAGATACTGCAGCCTAGCTGTAAGCTACAATGTATTTGTGCTACCCACCCTCTTAAAGCTAACATAGAAGAAGTTATCCACATCATCAGTCCACCTTCTTGGGTGCTCTATTATTCTTGATTCAGATTTTTCTAGGAAAATAAAGGTGGCTGGCGTGATATTGATAACATCACAAATCAAGTGTCAGTTACTCTATAACAATAGGTTAGGTTTAGGTTTAGACAGATCAACATCATGACACAAGGGTAGTAACCTATAAGTGCTCTGTTCTACTTCTGACTGAAGCCTGAGTCCGAAGAATCTCAGTGCAGTGCACGAACTCCGTAACACCGGTGAGGATTCTGAACTACTGTTAGGTAGATTTTGAACTCCAAATTTTTGCCCGGGCAGCCCCTTTAGGTTACTCTTTTTTCGATTTCCAACTGCCAAGGGATTTTTTTACATGGGCAACCATACATACTGGCGTCCAATCTTACTATCAAGAAACCAAGGGAAATTACTAGAAGTCCATGTGAAATAATCCCAGCCTTCACCGGGGCTTGAACCCGGGACCTCTAACACTCAAGGTGGACGCCATGCTTTGAGACCTCTATAACAATATGGGACTAGCATCATATGTCTGATACTCTTTGGGGCATAAACACGTTCCTTTAAATTCTGTCTTCTGTTTTTCGTTTTAGCATTTACCAGCTGTAAACTATGATGAAAAGTTCTGGTTGTTGGTCCACTTCAGGACTTTAGTCTTCTCACAGAACTTGAATTTTATGTGCACATATATTTTTTTACAGATCTGGCTTACTGTATGCAGACTGTTGGTTCCTCGCCTCTCAGGCAGCTACAATCCGACATCAAAGGAAACACCCATAACAAATCGCCTCCCATGACATGCTTGTTCGGGGGCAGTGGGTCTATCATTGTATGAGGATAAGTAAACGATCTGTAATTATAAAATAACTAAAATCAGTGCACACTGTGCAGAAACACAAACTCACCTGACTTGAAGCTTGCTCTGCACCAAACATGCGTGCTCGAATAAGTCCAAGGCGCTCTGTTGTGTGAAACAGTCGGACTTTGGGGAGGTTTCTCTCAATATATCCTTCCAAATCTGTTTTCAGGTAATCTGAAAGTGTCAGTTATACAAATAATTAGCAGAGCTCAAAAGAAAAATGATGTCTCACAGATTTGTAAATTAAATGTATGGATTAAATGCATGGTGACAGAAATAAGTAATTTTATCATGTCAACACATATGTCAGAAAGCTACTGGCCCCATTAGTATCAGAACTCTTCGCTGGCTGCTGAAGATGGGGACTGAGCACTTATGGGAATGCCCCGAGTGCTGTGATGTCGGTTCTTGAATCAAATCAAATCAAATCGACACATATGTCACTGGGAGATCGTTCTAGTTGTTTATCATTCTTACTTATAATAGTATTATTCTCTTTATTATAGGGTCCATAAACTGGTCAGTGGGGATTCATCACTCCCTGTTTGTAACTGTACTAACTTTTATACATTTTAGTCAAAAAACTTGTCTGTGACCATTCATGATGGCTGCTTGTAACACTAATAAATATGTATCTTCTATTGTCAATAAACTTGTCTGTGACCATTCATCATGGCTGCTTGTAAGACTAATAAATCTGTGTCTTCTATTATAGTCAATAAACTTGTCTGCGACCATTCATCATGGCTGCTTGTAACACTAATAAATCTGTATCTTCTATTATAGTCAATAAACTTGTCTGTGACCATCCATCATGGCTGCTTGTAACACTAATAAATCTGTGTCTTCTATAGTCAATAAACTTGTCTGCGACCATTCATCATGGCTGCTTGTAACACTAATAAATCTGTGTCTTCTATAGTCAATAAACTTGTCTGTGGCCATCCATCATGGCTGCTTGCAACACTAATAAATCTGTGTCTTCTATAGTCAATAAACTTGTCTGCGACCATCCATCATGGCTGCTTGTAACACTAATAAATCTGTGTCTTCCATTATAGTCAATAAACTTTTCTGTGACCATTCATCATGGCTGCTTGTAACACTAATAAATCTGTATCTTCTATAGTCAATAAACTTGTCTGCGACCATCCATCATGGCTGCTTGTAACACTAATAAATCTGTGTCTTCTATTATAGTCAATAAACTTGTCTGCGACCATTCATCATGGCTGCTTGTAACACTAATAAATCTGTATCTTCTATTATAGTCAATAAACTTGTCTGTGGCCATTCATCATGGCTGCTTGTAACACTAATAAATCTGTATATTCTATTATAGTCAATAAACTTGTCTGTAGCCATCCATCATGGCTGCTTGTAACACTAATAAATCTGTATCTTCTATTATAGTCAATAAACTTGTCTGTGACCATCCATCATGGCTGCTTGCAACACTAATAAATCTGTATCTTCTATAGTCAATAAACTTGTCTGTGACCATTCATCATGGCTGCTTGTAACACTAATAAATCTGTATCTTCTATAGTCAATAAACTTGTCTGCGACCATCCATCATGGCTGCTTGTAACACTAATAAATCTGTGTCTTCTATTATAGTCAATAAACTTGTCTGTGACCATTCATCATGGCTGCTTGTAACACTAATAAATCTGTGTCTTCAATTATAGTCAATAAACTTGTCTGTGACCATTCATCATGGCTGCTTGTAACACTAATAAATCTGTATCTTCTATAGTCAATAAACTTGTCTGTGACCATTCATCATGGCTGCTTGTAACACTAATAAATCTGTATCTTCTATTATAGTCAATAAACTTGTCTGTGACCATCCATCATGGCTGCTTGTAACACTAATAAATCTGTATCTTCTATTGTCAATAAACTTGTCTGTGACCATTCATCATGGCTGCTTGTAACACTAATAAATCTGTGTCTTCTATTATAGTCAATAAACTTGTCTGTGACCATTCATCATGGCTGCTTGTAACACTAATAAATCTGTATCTTCTATTATAGTCAATAAACTTGTCTGTGACCATTCATCATGGCTGCTTGTAACACTAATAAATCTGTGTCTTCTATAGTCAATAAACTTGTCTGCGACCATCCATCATGGCTGCTTGTAACACTAATAAATCTGTGTCTTCTATAGTCAATAAACTTGTCTGCGACCATTCATCATGGCTGCTTGTAACACTAATAAATCTGTGTCTTCTATAGTCAATAAACTTGTCTGCGACCATCCATCAAGGCTGCTTGTAACACTAATAAATCTGTTCTTGTCTAATACAAACCAAAGTCGCTGAAATCATCCACAAGAATGATCTCATGGATTAAGTGGGCAGGAGAACGAGCCAACACTGTGTGGACAGTGCGCAGCAGAGCAGACAGGGCTTCGTTATAAAAACAAATGATCAGGCTTGTGCTCGGCAAATCTGTTGGGTAGGTCTTCTCCCTACACCTGAAAGTTACACAAGGTATTTGTCTGTATCGAGGGTTCTATGTCTTCATTAATTACATAAATGTTATCATCACAACCACAGAGAAGTAAATAAGTAACTATTTTTTCAACTGTTTTGTTGCCTCCTATGACATGGTTTGGGAGAGTAGAGAGGGGGGGGGGGGGGGGGGGGGGGGGAAGCAGTGAGTCTATTATTTGCTCTCAAGAAATGGAGCCCGCTAACCCACATGAGGACTATGTTCTAGTGTGACACTATACAACAGATTAATAATTATCATCATCCTTCGTTTTATACAACAGATTAATCATCATCCTTCGTATACCCTTAAACGTTGCGCAGGGCACACATTCGAATCTCCCACTCTGCTCTACAGCATGCAACTCTCTCGAGTTCTGATAAGGACTTCCGCCCAGCATTTTTAGCTTCTTGTTATAATGTTCTTCAGAATGTTTCCCTTGGACGCCCTCTTTTTCTCAGACAGTTTGCTGCCCATTTTAGTGCTTGTTTTGTACAAAGGATTACTGAATAAAAATTATGTTTCACTAGATGCGAGTTCGTGTTAACTGAGTGTTCTTAAGCAAGTTCGTGTTAACAAGATTTTACTGTATAATTCCAGTCCTGATATTTGGAAGTAAATCATGGACAATCAGCTTATAAGTGAAGAATTATGTGGAAGCTAGAGAGATGTGGTTTTATAGATTTCTGATGGAAACACTGTGTGTGAACAGATAAAAAAGAGTAATGAATACGTCTGGAAAGAAATTAAGACATGAGGGAACTGATTACCCATATCAGAAAGAGACAATCTTATTTATTTGGTCACATCATGAAAAGTCTTTGAAGAATTGAGACTACAGAAAGAGTCCTCCTACATCGCTACAATCATTTCCATAATCATCATTGCGTGGAGAGTTGAGACAGACTACGAAGGCACATCTGGACTCAGGCCGCTAAAGTGATGTTATCTTGGACTTATCTGGTCGGATCCTGCAGCTCCTCAGGGTGCCAGAAGGTGGAATTCTGCCACGTCTCGTTACTCAGAACGTCTCCGTACAATTAAGATGACCCCTGGGATTGATCAAATAACAATCAACTTCCCAGAGACTGGTGGGCGTGAACTTTAAAACAGTCAGACATATCAGGCAATGGCTGGTCAACACAAGTCGGTTTCTTCCCAGGGGCTGGTTGGCGGGATAACCTGACTACCACACGGATGCATGCTAGATCTTCCAATTTCCCATATAAACGAATGAAGAGAGCAAAGATGCTTTATTAACGGTCGAGTGGCCACAGAAATGAAACACGTCCCACCACTTGAACGGACCAAGAAGAAGTGACGTATAAAATTATAGTCCCTATCTACGACAGTTGTGGCGAGAATATGGCTCAAGCACACTGTGAAGCGATCACACTATTAAACTTGAACAGGCGTAGAAAATGTGTCCTATCATACATATAGACACTATACGCCCAGAAGAATCAATCCAGGAGCGATTTATATAGGTTTCCCACAGCTGGAATCCCCAACAACAAACTATATATCTACGGACAGACCATCCGATATCATAGTTACATCAACAAATATGGGGGTGTCCAGACTGAGGGCCAGTCTATTGTGGTAGGGGTGTTGATGCTGTTATGTGACAACTGAGATGGAAGATGATGGAAAGCCTTGGCATGGTTGGTGTCAGACATGACTGAAAATACACAAGAGAGAAGGTTGAGGATAGTCATGACTACTAATGACACACAGCCTGGACTATAAGAAGAAGAAGGTCCCCGTGAGGATTCTAGGGCCCCACTGTGCGAAAAAACATAACAGAGCCACTGCCTTCAAAACAATCCAGTCGGAGTGCATCCAGATGAGATGCAAGGAACAACAAACTACACATAATTAAGCTAGTAAAATGGATGAACATACAAAACTCAGGCCCTGGCACAAAGTCGAAATGGACAAACAACCAGGACTTTCTGCCTGAGCTTAAAGCCGGTGAACAAAAAAAAAGAAGAAAAAGGCACCATTTTAAAAACTGACTTGGGCTCTCAGTTTAACCCAGCTAAAAATGAGGCACAATATAAAAACTGAGTATGTGATATTACCAAGGGAAGTTTGTAGATATATATAAAGTGAATTATTCTAAACATCACCTATTGTGAAACTGTGAAAGACAAAGGTATATGTTATTGTATATGTGACTTTCACAAGGGAAACAAGCGTGTGACAGAGTAAGATTAACAAAGTGTATATATTTTAGCACAAAATGAAATATTTTAAACTAGCTAACAAAGTTAGGTAGTAAATAACTTTTTTCATTTTTTTTGGTACTTCAGGCACATACTGCTATATCTATATTTTATTAGATAAATCAGCACTCGATCAATGATATTGTCAACATCATGTGAGTGCCTTTACTTCCTAGGACATTACCTCGTACCCATTTTAGGCAAGGTCCACCTGGGATTGAAGGTAATTTTTGAAAAATACCTTTACAGAGATCTGAATCCTAGATCTTTGGACTGGCAGGTGAACATCTAGCCACTATGCTACCATAGCTCCTTTTTAAATCAGTGGCATTGGAGCTCATGTAAATTTTAGTCTACAGCCAGACTGCAACATCTACATCTTTCGGTACAACAGTTCTGTTTCAGCAAACCCATAATAAATCGCCTGTCATGACATGCGCGAGCGCACATGTGTGTGTGTGTGTGTGGGGGGGGGGGATTTAAACTACTGCTCTGGGAATTACTGCAATGTCTGCAGTGAAGTGCCAAGCTGTATCGGCACTTGCCCTTCCAATAGCATTACCGGCCATGTGCTGCCTGGGCAACAGCCTGTACTCCAATTCAAAATTCCCAGACATGTACCGTGGAGATAAACAGGCGGTACAACTCCGTGGTCCCTAAGGACTGGCGGCTGCCTATACAGTTAACTTGTCTACAGGAAAAAGTATCTTTGAAATATATAATTAAAGTCCATGTTTAAACGCTAGAAGAACAGGTCTCTACCTCTCAAACCTGGCATCTGGTAAGGGTCTTGTAAAACTTAACTTGTCACTGAGCATCTGGTTAAATGCGTGATTCTGATAACCTGTAAAGCATTTTAAAATGTTTTGGTAAAGACAGAAAAATAAATGATAACTTCATAGAGATCAAACTGACTGGGCTCAACATTCAAACAATGATCACTATAAGATTTTAGGCAAGACACTGGACCAACAGCTCATTCTCAAACATCTCATTTCACAGGTGGTTAGTCTTCTCTCGTGTTCTTTTGTTAATGTCCAAGTCTGACATTGATAACCTAATACATGATTTATAAAACAACAAATATATATTCTGAAAACTTGATGAACACTGTATATTCGAACTGTAACCCCGAGAGCTGAAGAGGAATCTTTTTTTTTTTTAAATTTTAAAATTACTATTATAACTACAGTACAAAACGCTTGCCTGTGAATTGGAAGGTTATGGGTTCGGGTCTCGACAGAGCCAGACTTTTTTTAAAAATGACCTTGGTTTCCAGGCAGACCTAGCCTTGAGTGGGTAGAAGGTATAGTCCAGGGAAGTAAAGACGGCCGGCATGATGGTGACCAAATTACCCACACGATTGGTCTGTAAAATATAGGTGTAGCCTTATAAACCCAGAAACCTAAAGATGGGGAAAAGGGTCCTTTACTTTTACTACAGTACAAAATGATGATGATGAATGTATACTGAACAATAGTACCTGCATTATAGTTCCTTTGATCATCTGCTGTTTGAATCTTGGCAAGTTTCTCCAAAATTAGCGTACTATAAATATCAATATCATTGCCGTTGTCATCAACTGACAATGCCGGAAGGATATCCTCCACTGCTGGTTTTGATCGAAATCGGAAGTGTCTTTGGCGAGAATATATGTCAGAGAAAATCCAGTACAACAAGAACCAAAAGGCAATACATACGGCAAGAAGAAAGAGCAATATTCGTGATTTTTTCAGTCGAATCATGATTCACATTTGCTGAATGTCCAAGCTGTCGCAATGTTGATTACACCTTCTGTAACTGTAAGGAAATGAGCTGTTTTTGGCTATCGTGAGTTAACTCTTTTACCAACAAACTCCCAATAGAGTTATTTGTCCCTCATTATATGGTACATATTTCTTCACTCTTTCTGTTTGAATCTTCTGTTAACTTAGTTTATCTCAATAGTTACTATAATTCTGTACGTCTGGAGGCTTTTTTTTTTTGCAATCCCATAAAATATGCATAAATTAAAAATGATTGTTCTATGGAACTCTAGACTGGACAGACTGAAAGAGTTAAAATCAAGTAATGCTGAAGTGTAAACTAAAACTAAAACTGCGGGGGTAGAGGTTCGGAGGAGAGCCTAACACTAACAGTTAACACAGTTTAAGTTTTAATGACGTTTTTATTCTTTTCAGTATCAATCAAATATGTTTATTTTTACTTGTAGTAATAATTTATTTAACCTATATTGTGTACAGTATTATTACCAACTAGGATATCAAGACTGGTATAGAGCCAGTAATTAATTGGGCTCTACTGGCAAATTTGGCCGGTAAGCTGGACTGCTTCGGCCGGCTTAGCGGGGCTTAGTAGGAGTTATGTCCCTTGGCCAAACTCAAAACAAGTCGCGGAAAAAGTCACGAATCAAACGGCATACTTACCTATCATCATCCGGGTGCGTGTAGGGTTGCGTAGGGTGTCTATCATTGTCCTACGGTTGCGTGTAGGGCTGCTTATTGCGTGTAGGGTTGGTTGTTGTAAGATAGATGAGGGGTAGGGTTAGGGGTTAGGGTTAGCGGTTAGGGTTTAGGGTTAGGGTTTAGGGTTTAGGGGTTAGGGTGTAGGGTTAGGGGTTAGGGGTTAGGGTTTAGGGTTAGGTGTAGCGTTAGATGTGACAATTGTGATGCCGTAGTTCCCTACAATCGCGCACAGTTGCATGCACGCGCAAAACAGTCGACGGACGGTGGATGCTACTGACATGGACAATTCGCCACCGATTGGGGCACCAGCCGCCACGCGCTATTGCTGTCATATTTGGCACACTTCCAGTGGCGCCACTCCCACAAGCATCAGATTGTCGGCCAGTATTTCCACCTCCTACGTGAATATTTTCACATCATCTAACCCTAACCCTACCCCTAACCCTACCCCTCTAACCCACACACCTAACCCTACCGCTAACCCAAACCCTACGCAACCCTACACGCAACCGTATGATGATGATGATAGACACCCTACGCATCCCTACACGCAACCGTATGATGATGATAGACACCCTACGCGCAACCGTATGATGATAGGTAACCCTAGACGCAGCCCTACACGCACCCGGATGATGATAGGTAAGTATGTCATTTGATTCGTGACTTTTTCCGCGACTTGTTTTGAGTTTGGCGAAGGAACATAACTCCCACTAAGCCCCGCTAAGCCGGCCGAAGCAGTCTAGCTTACCGGCCAAATTTGCCAGTAGAGCCATTAATTGAGTAAACTGTGCTGTGTGCAGATTACATTAACTTGATTACTGTTTATAATAAACTTTATTACTACATTATCTTTTTTTCACGTAGATATCTGAAATAATTCAGATACACATAGTATCCCCATCAAAGCTCAGAAGAAAAAAGTGTACAATCGATCATCGTTTCACTAACGACGAGATCCTGTGATTTCCTGATAATAATCTGCTTCCCTAGTAAAACGACGACAGCGTCAATTTACACAGCCAGCAGTAAGTATCCAGTTGTGAGCAGTTCAAAATCTTGGAGAGACATCATCATCATCAGGTGTCAGATCCGATAATCGTGACTTCAGGCGACCATTAAAGTCATATGCCAGGCCTGTGTTTCTTGAGCAGTTTGTGACACGTAGCCATTTATCTAGGAAATTAAAGATTAAGAAATTCTAGCTGCAACAAACTATGACTAGAGTAAAGAAGGAAATTAACACGTATGATAGGAACTTTAAAAAAAACGACAAACTGCATGTGAAGGTATGTTATAACTGGACTCATTACTCCTTTGCAGGGTTCATATTATGCTGTCGGTACAAGGTCCCTTACATCTGCTATTAGGGACCTCGAAAAGCCTAAGCATTGGTTAAGCGAGTAAAAGGCGAGTAAACTGTGCTGAATAGCAACAAATGTAAGAATATATTTAAAATGGTGGACTTTAGAAGTAGAACTGGCGTGGAAGGCAAAGAAAGCCGCAGTGAAGCAACTAAACGGCAGACACCCCCAAGCTCACGAGAAGAAGTGGAGATGGCGGAAAATGTGAAAAAAGATAAGCTGGAGGTTTTCAAGCACTGTGCTGCAGAGGCCAAAAGATCAAAGTGGGAAACTTTTGTGAATGATATGGGAGGCGATAGAACATTTCGGAAATTCTGAAAACTGCAAAGAAAGATGCAAAGAAACGATCGGCCTATGACACTCGGAACAATTTGTAGAGACGATGGCGTGAGTATGACAACAGACAAGGAGAAAGGGGAGGCTTGACTCCATAGGTTTATAGCTCAGACAAATCATAATGATGTAGACATCAGGGATGCAGCTAGGAGTTAGCTGACACCTTATATATCAAACAAATTTTGAAAAAGGCAAAAGACACTGCACCAGGGTCTCGCGGTGTCAGGTATGGCCACATGAAGGCTTTGAACGATGTAGACCTGGCAGAAATGACCGACTGCTTTAATCAGAGCATTAGGACAGCATCAGTACCACAGAACTGGGTGCACAGCTATGTAAGCCCACTGCCAAAACCTTGTAAGGATTATTCAAAGCACAATGATTTTAGAATCATTACCTTACAAAACACATTTAAGAAGGTCTTGGAGAAGATAGTTGCTGTAAAGTTGCAATAATTTTTGGAAAGGGGGAAGCTTCTGCTAAAATGTATGGGTAGCTACAGGCCAGGAAAGGACGCATGGGCAAATGCGGCCACTTTTGCCTTTGACGTCTATAAAGGATTCCAGAACAGACAGGAAACTATGGTGGGTGCTTATAACAGAGTGAGATACGACATCTTGATGACTGCACACTGAAAAAGAAGGAAGTCAGTCCATGGCTGGTGAATTGAGTTGCAACTGTCCTGTATTCACGACGGGTTGCTCTCCGACTAGGCTCATGGACCTCATAACCATGCAGTTTGGCCCAAGGACTGCCACAGGGATCCACCATCTCGACTGTGTTCTTTAACATGGTGCCAAGAAGCACCAGGAGCTGGAAAGATGCTGAAGTTTGCGGATAATATACTTGCATATAGGCAGGAGAAAGAGAGGGAACAAACAGCCCGGGAGCTACAAGCAACAGTAGACAAAGTGACTGAGTGGTGTACATAAATGAGGGCTGTCGTCTACCCGGAAAAGGCGACTGTTTTGTGTGTTTTGTGGACAGCAGGATCGTTAGAGCTAATGCCCAGAGTCTCACGATAGATGGTAGAAACGTCAACAGAGAAAGCAAACTGAAATATCTGGAATTACATTTAACAGCAGCCTGTTCTTTAGTTACCATGTGGAAAGTGTTGTGACAAGATGCCAAAAAGAACTTAGTGCACTTAGGACTATAGCTGAAATTGACATAGAGCAGAGAATGCTTTTCACACTAAATCGGCACCTGATCCTATCAGTAACTAATTATCGCATGGGACTACTTACCGTCTCAAAGAGTCAGATGGACAAACTAGAGCGCATACAGAACGCAGCTATGCGGGTCATTCTGGGTTGCACCAGAGACACCCCAGTGGTGTGTATGCGATACATCATTGGTTTGCTGACTGTTGCAGGTAGGCACAAGGTGCTACAGGCGAAGTCATATATCAGGGTAGCTGCAGACACAGACCACCCGCTGCATGAAGCTCTAGGTGCAGTTAAGGGTCAGCGGCTGATGAGAGAGAAGTGATGGATGGCTCAGTCAGAAGACACAGTCAGACAGGTTTGCATCCTTGAGAACATTAGGCGAGGAGAGGAGTGGGTCAAAGTGCCACCTGAGCAGTCAGACTTGTGTAGAGTCATAATCACACTGAGCCGGACATGTAGAGACTGGCCAGCAGGTGCCACGGTAGGTGGAAATTCAGCAATTAATTCAAGATAATGCTCGCTAAGAGGATTTGATAATTTACACAGACGGTTCAGTGTCAAGAGACAAAAGAAGTGATTGGGGTTTTTTGGCAAAAGTTAATGGTCGGCATTTGGTGCAGGAAAGCCTAGCATATGATACTAAAACATCCAGCTTAAGATGGAGGCGGAGGCGGTCACTGCAGTTTTCCGTTGGTTAAAGAAAATGACACACACACACACATCTTAATTGTAACTGACTCAGAAAGCATGCTGAGGAAGATCAGGACAGGCATGCTTCGAGCGGAGTGGCATGGCTCGCTGCAGAATACGCGGGTGGGGAGTATTGCCTGGATTTTTTTCCACCAGGGTATGCAGGTGTGTTGGGAAATGAACAGAGAACAGACTGACTGGCTCTGCACAGCTTGGTTGAATACTGATGCATGATACGGCAGACGTGGTTTGTACCTTATGGGAGAGCGTGTACAGTTCGGAGGAGCAGATGGATCACCACAGTATGGTGAGAATGAATGGGGAAAAGGGGGGGGGGGGGGGGTTTCCGAAAGGTTCTGGCAAAAGCTCGAGGCTCAGAGGAAAGGCAAGACGACGTTTAATCAGAATGCTACTGACACCATTAGTATCGGAACTCTTCGCTGGCTGCTGAAGATGGGGACGGAGCGCTTATTGGAATACCATGAGTGCTGTGATATCGGTTCTTGAATCAACTGAACTTTTTTTCTTCTTCTTCTTTTTCTTCCTCTTCTTCTTCTTCTTTCTCTTCTTCTTTTTATTCTTCTTCGAATTCACTGTAACATCAGGCGGAAAATTATGGTTAATCGTCCACTTTTGGACTTAAGTATTGTTTCAGAACTTATTTTGCACGCAGTTTAAAATAATAATACTGTATAATCAAACAGAACTTAATTGCCAGGCT